CTTCCCTCCATTGTGTGTGATTGGTTGGCGCGCGGCGCGGGGGCGGGGCGGCGTGTGTTGGGGGATAGCCTCGGTGTCAGCCATCTTTCAATTGTGTTCGCAGCCGCCGCCGCGCCGCCGTCGCTCTCTAACGCCAGCGCCGCCTCTAGCTCGCCGAGCTCCAGCCGAAGGAGAAGGGGGGTAAGTTTCCCTGTCTGCCCGCTTCCCCGGAACCGAGACCCGCTTGCCGTCAGCCCCGGGCCGGGCCCCGACGGTGCGGGGAGGGGGCCCTCAGCCCCTCCGGCTTGGCTCACAAACTTTTTGGCCCAGAAATGGAGGTGAGGAGCGAGTTTCCCTCTACCCTCAGGCGGCGGCTCCCCAGTCTCTCGCCGCCTCAGCCCAACAGCAGCAACTGCCGCGGCGCCGAGCCTGCCCTCCCTCCTCCCCGCGCCGCTGGCTCCTCTTTCTTCGGTGAAATCCCGCCCGCTGCCCCTTTCCGGGACCCCAGACCTTCACCAGGACCCGCGCGGGCCTCTTAACTACCGCCCCCGGGCCCCGGCCCCCAGTTTTCGGGCGGGAAAAGGGTGGAAATCGCCGGCGCTTCCCACCCCGGGGTAACTCGCTTTTTGCTGCCTCCCCACAGTTGTTGCTAAGCTTCACCATCTTGTCTCTCTTCTCTGGTCACCGACCATATTTTTTCCCCCGTTTCTCTCTTCCCCATTTCAGAAAAGGAGGAAAATTTTTTACAGAGGGACATTTTTTTCTCCTTTTTTGGAGAAGCGGAAACTTGATGCATCTGAAATGCAAAAAAAAAAAACTTTTGCATTTTTTTGGAGGGCGGCACGTGGCAGGGGATCGGGGTATTTTCGAGCGTTTTGGTGTTTTGTCTCTTTGGAAGGAAATCGGATACGTTTTGCGATTGTTTCCATTTTGTTCTGGTCTGGAAGCCGAGTTGGTGCCTGCGCGAGACGCTGGGAGCGAGGCGGGAGGCTGGGGGACCCTGAGCCGAGGGGCCGGAGGAGGCGAAACCAAAAGTTTATGTGGTGCTTGGGGTGGACCCGTCGGCCGGTGCGTTAATTAAAGCCTTGGGTGCGGGGCACTTTTTTTTTTTTTCTCCCTTTGCGAAGCCTGGTTGGACTGCCGCGAAGACGATGCTTTGTAGAATGCTCGCTGGTGCTAGCTGTTGTTCCTCTGGTTTTTCGAGACGCCTT